GGATTGTACTAGTCTTTTGGTCAGTACCACTACTTAGTCGCGATGTGAGCTTCAGTGGCAACTGTGACTGAGTAGGAGAACTCTGGATAGTATGGGAAATTTGAACATAGTGATGTCTGAGTTTTAAGAAGAACAAGTCTTCAGGAACTTTTTTGGGGGCTTGGGATATTGCTAAGAGGTAAGGTACACTTGCATAGCAATCCTCAATATTGCAAAAAAAACCCTTTTATTCTTAAAAGAGGGAAAGGTAGACTGTTATAACAGCTACTGGGGTCCACAAAAGTGATTTATCTCCAGAGACCACCTGTCCTACACACAAATAGCAAATGGGTGAGAAGGAAGCCAAGCAAGATGCTGGAAAGTTCTGCTTACATTTTGAGCCTTATAATATAAAACGGTTTGAGAACTTTGAAGGGTTTACTTCACAAATGGGCCAGTCTTTTACAAAGGTCAGAGACACATCCCTGGGATTTGAGATTGACGGCAGATTGAATTAAAGTGGGAAAATCCTCAGATCTACATACTGTATGGCAAACCTTTTAGTGATGGTTAATTTTAAATGTCAACTTGACTAACGGGTTAAAGAGTATCCAGATAATGGGTGAAACCCTTGGGGTGTCTGAGAGGGTGTTTCCAGAAGAGATGATCATTCAAACCAGTGAACTGAGTCAAAAATATCCACTCTCACCAGTGTGGGTAGGTATCATCCAACAGGTTTGAGGACCAAGATAGAATGAAAGGTAGAAAGATGAATTTGCTCTCTTCTGGAGCTGGACATTATTTTCTCCTGGCTTTCACACAACAGAACTTGGGTGTTGAGGTCTTTGGACTCAGACTCAGCACATCACTAGCTTTTCGGGTTGTACAACTTTTAGATGGCATATTGTTGGACTCCTTAGCCTCCATAATTGCATATGCCAACTCTCATATTCCCATAGTGAATCTCTCATATATCTCTCTCTCTTTCTCTCTATCTCTTTCTCTCTCTCCACCCTATTGGCTCTGTTCCTCAGGTGAATTCTCACTAAAAAACCCTTTTCATTATAGACATTTCGTCTAGAATCCATTTTTTTTCTTGAACTTGGAAGACTGTTTTCATGCAAATTGTATTATTCCAGAGAAGACTGCAACACTACCTCCCATCCACAAGCACTTCTTCCAAAGTGACAAGGACACTGCTCTATGGAGTGGTGGGGATCTACCTCCTCTCATTTTAGTTAAGGCAGGTTTTGACATCTGTGGAGTGATATGGTGTATCTTTGAAGGCTGGGACAGAAAGATAATATGTCTTCCACCTAACCTATTCTATTTTGGGATGCCAGCCTTGGAGCTCAGCCACCATGCTGTGAGGAAGCCCAAGCAACCTGTGGAGTAGTCCACATGAGGATTAAATACAGCCATGGGCTGACAAGCCTAGCTAAAGGTCAGCAGAGCTTGCTGGCCACAATGTAAGAGAGCCATCTCAAAAGCAGAACTTCCATGTGCCAGTGGAGCTGACACCATGTAGAGAAGACACTATCTGACCCGACCAACCCCTGCCCAAACTGCAGGTTCATAAGCAAAAAATTGACTTGTTATTTTAAGACACTACATCATTTTGGGCTGGGTTTTTATATGGGAAGCTAGCTGATATAGTTCCTTTATTATACAGAAATGAAATATACTCTTTTGCACTTACTTTGGGCAAATTCCTTTGATTTAGAGCTTCTTATTTTCCTCAGAAGAAGCTGTCCTAACAGCCATCCTACCCTAGATTCTAGAAGGGGGTCTGCAGGCACCAAGGAAGATAAGAGATGGTGAGCAAGGTATAGTTTTTGAGTCATGCTTGTTCACTGTGAAGAGGGAGTGACAGTCTCATTTTCTGCACCTGCACCTCTCATCACTCACCTTTTTACCTGTCCTCCGAGGGCCGTGGACATGTGTGGGTAGATGGCTAGCTGTGATTTAGCATAGAATAACAGATAAGCTTGGAATTCCATATTTCCAAATGTAAACACTACTGTGAGGTTAACAGAAGATGACAGGCATTCCCAGACATATAGCATTCCTAGATAGATCTGTGTACTATTAGGGGCACTGAGGACTAACCAGGTACACCTAGGAGCTGCTCATGGGATTGGTTCATCCTCCTCTCTCCTGTTCCTCTTGGACAGCTGGGATCCATGATGCCATTGAATTCCCAGCTGGATGTCCATGCCAAGCAGGGGCTGCCATCTGTCCTGGATCCATAGTGCAGCTGTATGTCAAGAAGGAAAGATTTGACTGATCTTGTTCCCTCCTGTCAGCTGATGCAGTACTTGTCTTGAGCTGATCTGAAACTTAGCTGACAGACATTTGATATTAATGACGATGATCTTGAGCTCTCTCTGTGTCTGTTTTCTTCCCTTTCCTCCCTACTGTCACTTCCCTGTTCCTCTCCTCCACTAGTAGAGCTATCCAGAGGAATTCTCCTCTTTAGGTAGTTTCTTTGATCTCCTTCCCAATCCAAGTCATGCTTTAAGCTATATGTAGTTTTTCTTTCCAATCTGACAAATAGCTTTAATTTCTCAGCAGAAACCAGCATCTTGAATAGGACAAAGTGAGCAGTGAAGCAAATATGACTGAGATGGATGATGAGAGTGACTCTATCCTTTTTGTCAGCCTGCAGGCCACTCATAGAAAGATTCTCTGCCCAGATGCTTCCCACTCCTCTGCCTGTCATATCTCAAAAAGAGGAGGGCCTTGGACTAGCCCTATGGAGACCAGCATTTCCCTTTAGGCCACCTTAGCTGATTAGACATTTTGGAAGGGAAAGAATTCTTTTGTCAGTTGTATTAGGTATCTTTTTGTTATTATAACAAAATACCTGAAATAGGTTACTTCATAAAGAAAAGAAGTTTATTTAGCACACAGTTTTGTAGGTTCCAGTGTATGGTACCTATAGTTTTAGTGAGGTCCCCATGGCAGATGACAGTGGAGAAATATGTGTTGGGAAAGGCAGTTACATCTCAAACCAGGAAAGAGAGGGAGGGAGGGGGGAGCGGGGGAGACAGAGAGAGAGACAGAGAGAGACAGAGACAGACAGACAGACAGAGAAAGGCTGAGATCAGGCCTGTTCCTCTTGTGACAAATCCTCTCAGGACAACTACCAAGGGACCTCATAAGAATCACTTTCTGAGAGGAGGCCCTTCCAATCTAAGGATCCCTCAGCAGGACTTACCAACTAGGTTCCTCCATTCCTCCATCTCCCAATATTGCCATGCAGCAATGAAGCCTCCAATCACATAACCCTTTGGGAAGATCCAGTTAAACCATGCCCATTCCATAGCACCAGCTTTGCAAATGGATTCCAATAAGGACCCGAGGGGGGAGCTCAGAGGGAGAGGTGGAGTTTTTGTTCTGGAACATGCGGCCTAGGAACATGTATGTCAACAAGGTCTAGAGATTCTAGCTCATTTCGTAGCTCTAAGAAAGGCATCTTGGCCCACAAAGAGAAAGAAAAGTAATGGCCCCTGGGAAAGAGGTCTTCGGAGTGACCCATCACAAGTGTTTTTTTTGAGTGCATGGGTAGGGTTAGGTAGGAAGTTATTCAAGAGCTCTGTTTCTCCAGATTATACTCAGATGCTAACACTTCACAGTGAGTCCCAGTTTCCAGCAGGGGTCCCAGTTTCCCCCTTCTGGCTGGCAGTGAGCTACCTTTCAGGCTGCAGGGAGGGCTGCTCATCATTCTTGCTTCTTGTTCTTGTAGGGAGCTTTATGTCCTAGAGCCAGGGCTCTGTGGCTCGTGGATGCCTTGAAGGATGGAATTCCTGAGCCCACCTTCACTGCCTGTCAGCCTTCCTTTCTAGGCCACCAGACTATCTTGGGGAGCTGTGCGGCTTTCACTCTTTGAAAGAATAAATGTATTCCCTCAGAACACTGGTGTGAGGTGATTGTAGTAATGTTTCCACGGCACTCATCTATTCCTTCTGCAAATACAACTGTTTTCCGTGGGAGCGATGTGGAGGGGTCAGGGCAGGGAGACTGGGAAACGTGCAGGCCGTCCAGCGTCCTTACCTATCTTCCTCTGTGGGAATAAGAAGTCTGGGTCTCCTCCACCCCAGACTCCTAAATTGCTCACCCCGTTCACCTTGGCTTCATGCAGCTCGGATGGGGCCAGACCGAATGAGGTGAGGAGGAAAGGCATCCTGTGCAGGAGAAAGCAGGGTTCATTCAGGAGGGGGAAAACTTTTACAGCTCGAAGTTGGGATTTAGTAATGATGAGCAACGCTGACCCGCACTGGGGGAGGCAGTGTGCTGCACATGTGTTCCAGAGGGGTCCATGACACGCTGCAGCTGAGCTAATGACTCACTCCGAATCCTAGCGACTTTTAGAGGTCATTTTAGTCATCCCCTGCCTTCGGGCTGGATGGGACCTAAGCATCGTGCTTGGTGGAGGTGGTATGCCATTCAGGGGGACAGTGTGCAGGCGCGGGTGGGGGAGGGGAGGCTCGCGTGACCTCTTTGAAGAGCTCTCCAGCGAAGGACGTTGCCCAGCTTTCCCAGCCTGCCCGCTCCGGGTTTCCCCATCACTGAATCAGTGTGATCCTCCGGGAACTGCTTTTTGCAGGATGAAAACCGGATGTTGGGTTCCCTGGGTGGGCGGGGGCTCCATAACCTCAGATCTGGCAGGGGTAATTGAGACTCCTAAGGTCCCGTTAGCCAGTCCTAGAAGCTATAATTTCTTTCACCATAAACTTGCCATGCAGTGTGAACAGAGAACAGAACAGAGCGAAGACGCTACAACGCCTTCTCCCCAGCAATGCGCATGATTCTGCGGCTCTGCGCTCGCCACTCTTCAACGCACCTTGAAATGGGCTCGCCTCCTTCTCACCAGGACGGGCAGGCCGGCAAGCCAATCGACGCCCAGGTTTTTGAGCGGCTCCCAATGGGTGGGCGGCAGGGGCGGGCCCAATGCTAGCCTTCGCAGCGGACCTGGCTGAGCGCTGGCTCCGCTAGTAGTGCAGGTGCAGCTGCGCCGGGCCGGAGGCTGCGCCGAGGAGCGGCCGGGAGGGATGGGGAGCGGGCCGCCGGGGCTTCTCGGGGACCGGCGCGGGGCGTAGCGGCGCGGGCGCGCGGGCGAGGCGTGCGGGCGCTGGAGCACTTCGCGATAGGATGAGGCTCCGGGCTGGCGCGCGGTAGTACTATGATTTGGTATGTGGCCACTTTGATAGCAAGTGTGATCAGCACCCGAGGGCTCGCGGCTCAAGGTGAGTTGAAGTGCAGCGCCCCTCCGCCGCGCT